ACCCATAAAAGCAGCAGCGGATTGAACAGCAATTAGTAGCTTGTTATAAACTAAAACATAAGCAAACTTCTACAGCATGATGAGTAAACAATGTATATACATTTTAGTACCAAATGGCTCAGTAAAAAATAGTATTGTCACTGCTAGGAATGGGCCTCAGGCCTTAGGTCAACTGACTTCACATGCCAATGGTGCAAGGCCCAAATTCTGGCCTCTTTTCCTTGTGAAATCATTAGGAGAACTTGTTTAAGGAAGACCTGGGCACCAGGTGCCTCTTGTTATGGCATACAGCTTAGATGTGCTATAGGAACAAAGGCCTTGAAAATACAAGCACAGGCTGAAAGCAGAGGCCCCAGAACTGTAAGCAACTCAGTGATAGTCAATTATTAGTCACTGATGAAGTACAACCTTGAGATTTGAGAAAGAAAAAAAAAAAACCGCCTGCTTTTCTTTCAACATCAGCAAAACCTGAAAAGGAGGAATAAAATGTCCAGCAACAAGGAGCCATCAAGGACCATAGCTATCAGTGCTAAGTACATGGCTCCAGCTCTGTTGGTACTGTGTGCTCACAATTAATTTGAGATTGTTACAGACTAATTGCTTTGAATATGCTGTGATAATGAAAAGGAATGAGTAAGAACAAGCCATTAGTAATGTGTAGAGTTAATGAGTATCAATCTAGTCAAGCTTTGTTATAAAGTTTAAAGCTGGTTTAAAACTGTTTTATCAGCCTTCTAAGCCTTCAGTCACAGCAAACTCTCATTCTCTTCTGATATATATCCATACACAAATGTGTATCCAGTGGCAACATCATGCCACCATGCCTGACACCACACAATTTGTTACTGTATCACAACCCGCTCAAAGAGGTGATCTTAAAAACCTGCACATCCGGATCCTAATGCAAATACTGCTCAATTTTCCAGACTGCCTTCTGAACAGGGCATGCTGCACTTCGGTTTGCAAAATGCTTGATTCTGTAGAACAACTTGCTACAGACAGAGGACAAACATCAAGATGTGAATTTCCTCTAC